ACACCAAATCCTCCCAAACACCCCCACGAACCCCTCAACACCCCCCCTGCCCCAGCATCTCCAGCTGATCCCTCTGCAGAGCCTTCCCACCCTCCAGGAGATGCCCTGGTTGTCCTGCACGTGCCTGGGGATGGCACTCAGGATGATCTGCTCCATGACCTTCCCCAGTATAGAGGTCAGGCTGCCAGGTCTGTAGTTCCCCACATCATCCTTCCTCCCCTTCCTGTAGGAGGGCATTCCATTTGCTCATTTCCAGTCAATTGGGTCTTCTCCAGGTAACCAGGATTGCTGGTAAATGCTCAAAAGCAGCTTGCTGAGCTCTTCTCCAGCTCCCTCATTACTCTCAGGTAACAGAGAACATTCCACAGGAAAGCAACTTGCACCACAAGAGGTGGGAGGCATCTGTCCTGAAAAAGGTTGTAAATACTGTTAAATATCTCACTTAGCTTGCTTCAGAAACTTGCCTGGGATTAATATTGTTAAATATCTTTGCTTGCTTGAGAAACCTGCCTGACAACCCCGTAACTTTTAGATAGGATACATAATTTGTAGGCAGAAGGGATGTAGGTTTCTTTTTTGTATTGCTTAAAAGGAGGAACCAACCAGAAACCAGCCTCCAAGGCTGTGAAACTGGGTGTGAAAATGGCCATCCGAGAGCAAAGAACAAAAGAGCCACTTTCAGACTTGGAAATGGGACAACAGACCTCGAGAGTGCACCAAGTGAGGAAGACTGTGAAATGTCCACTGAATGACCACCCGAGAGACTGTGCTGCTTGTAAAAGGACAGCACATGGCAGCAAAGTATCAGAAACTGTAACACTGATCAGCAGGGGTGCTCACACAAAATATTTCTGGGACACAAGGAATATAAATGCTTTGGAAACAACTAATCACTGGAGCACTTGTGGAAGGATTTATCCTCAGTGCAAGCCAACCCTTCCCTTCCCAAACCTTCCCTTCCCAAACCTTCCCTTCCCAGTAATGCATCTACAATCAATGTGATTTCAGAAACAAAAGACCACTTGGTAGTTATTATATACAGGGGCTTTTTCAATCAAAGTAGATACATTGTGTAATTGTTCTAAGTAATGTTGCCCAAAAATTATTAGAAATGCTCTTCTAAATATGAAACATTGCATTGTGTCACTATAGCAGAGCTGACATTTACCCTCCTGGTCTGGGGGTATTCTTGAGGTCTAGATGGTTTGTCAGCTTCTAAATTTATGACAGACCTCTTAAAATGATAAAACTGAATGTGCATTACACCCGTAGAACAAAAACATATGCATTAAAAAGCACAAGGTATTTGGCTTTCTCCTTCGTCCAGGAGAAAGTTCAACAGCCCAAGTGGCTGTGTTTTAACTAGACTTGACTACATTTCATGTAGATCTGGACTAAAGAGAGAAGAAGCCTTTTCCCTTTCACGTAACAAGATGGATTAGAGGGACTATCTTTTCCTAGAGACCTTGCTTTTTCCTTTACTCGGTGTCTGTGGCTCTAAACTTGGACTGTCCCACACAGGAAGAGGACTAGGGTGCATTTGCCTTTGGGTTCTAAAATACTCACCAGAATGAGAGAACGATGCGGCTGTTACACCCAACAGCAGTGATGAGGCAGAACTTGTAAATTCTGCTCTCAGCTCCAGAAGGAGAGCACTGTTAAACTGAAAAAAAAACCATCTGAGATTATCAGCCAAGTTTCTGGGGGCATTGGGCTCTGTCACACCCATTCCCAGTTCCCTTTAACCACAATATTCCAATGCGTGTGCTACTCTCCCTGCACGATCCTCACTTAACCTCCGAACCAGAATTCAGTCAGCAGTGAAAAAAAGGACATAATTTGGCTTACAGCAGGATAATCACAACTAACCCCCCGGCACACACCTGTCCCTGTTACTGTGAAGTGGGACTGTTCGATAATCAATTACAAGCATACCAGTTTCAACAGTGTAAACAGCCACCAAAAAGATACAGCTGTGTAAGAACTGCAATCACTATTCCAAAGCAGCAGCGAAGGGCCCAGACAACATAAATCATGGTTTATTCCAGACATCCACATCGCTTCTAACAGCGGTTTTCCTCAGATACGGGAACACGACGTGCTCAGCAGCCCAGCAAAGGCACCGCTCGCCCAAGTCGGCGAACAAGGCGGGTTTTAACAAAGCTCGCCCGTCAGTTTCCTCTGCTCCGCCTTCCTGCCTGCTCAAACAAGGCAGTTAAGGCGTTTTTCCCCTCAGCCCCGCGCAGTTCCAGAGCCAAGCAAAGGACTTTCCCTGGGGCCGGGCGGGACCCGAGTGCTGGGGTGGGTGGTGGCGGCGGCACCGCCTCACGGGCCGGCCCGTCCCTGCTCCCTGTCCGTCCGCCTGGGAATGGCCGGGCAGAGCGGCCGGGGGGAGTTCCTCTCCTGGAAGGAGGTTGTAGCCGGGTGGAGGGGTCGGGCTCTTCTGCCAGGAGACCAGCGACAGGACGAGAGCACAAAGTCAGAGCTGAGGGCCTGCGGGACAGCAGAGCTGCCAGAGGGAGCAACTTGCCCAGTGTCCCCTGAGAAGTGCCTCCCTCCCCACCACACTCTGCTGGCCTCAAAGGCTGAGGGGGCCCAGCAGACCTGGCTTGAGGGCCCACACAATCCCTGCCCACAGGCTGCTTACCTGAGCAGAGACAACTCTCTCCCCAGGAATGTCCAGACTGGCAGCATCGTGCAGGCACTGAACAGCTGTGCTCTCAGCGCCTACGATGCCCTCAGTCGTTGTGGCATCAGACTCTGTGGGGAGCTCGGGCCGTGCGGTGTAGGAGTTTGTCCTGTCATCAGGCACCGTGTCATGGGGGGCTAGGGGTCCGGCCCGGTGCTGAGGTTTCATGGCCGTCCTTACCAGGCACTCGCTGAATGTCCACAGCTCCTTCTTCAACCTCTTCTTGAGATCCCTCCTCTTCAGGAAGCCGGCCAAGCAAAGCAGCGCTTCCCGAGAGGCCTGCAGAGCAACAAGGACTGGGAGATGGCACCGCAGCCCAGGGCACAGGGCCTGTGTCCCTGCACCAAGGCCAGAAAGGGTCTGGAGCCCAGGAGGTGCCAGGGCAAGAGGCAGCCCAGCCCCGTCCCACGGCAACACCAGAGCCCACAAGCGCTCACCTCTGCCACTCTGTGGTTCTCATCGTAGCAGTGGAGGAAGAGTGGAAGCAGGTTCTGCTGTGGCTTCAGGGGCTTTTTCCCCTCTTTCTTTAGCAGCATCATCACCCCACTGAAGAGGAGCATGGAGGAGAGCTGCACACTGCTGTCATCCTGGTGCAAATGAGAAGACCTTAGGCCTGGCTTGCCCAGGCCCACCTGGGCACAGGCCTGAAAATC